ACTCTACACCTTTTGTAATAATAAATGGTGTAGGTACGGATTTTTGTTTCTTCCTGTATACAGTTCAACAATATATAAGGAAGTATTTTGCTTTTATGATGGATTTGGTGCTTCGATGTTAGTGGTGTTGCTTTGGATTGCAGATTCGATTGCCACACTAAAAGTTTATAAATATTTTCTTCTTATATATATTTTTATATTAGATATGAATGCGAAGATGCGTCTGTCTGTTTGTTAACTATATTTTCGAGACTAAACAAATCTTAATTGAAAATTGTCAAAATTTAATAAATAATGAATAATCTATAGTATTTATTAGTTTGGCTTTTGACTGAATTCATGATATAGGTATCTTTATATTATAAATGCTAAAGTATGTCTGTTTGTTACGTACGAGTATCTTTTCACGACTAAACAGATCTTAATTAAAACTGACAGAAATGAACAAAATTGCTTCTAATAGTAATTTTTCTATCTTTTATTATTTACTAGCTGTACGCGACTACCGCGACTTCGTCCGCGAAAATAATGACGAATTTACCTAAAATCTTTCATCCCCTATTTTATTTTACCCCCTTAAGGGCATAAATTTTAAAAACTTTGAATATCATATTATTCATATTCATTTACCAGCCTAAAATATAAGTTTCACGCTTCTACCTTTAAAAATGATGATTCTTACGTACAACCTTGCATTTACCATTTCAACCCCCTTACAACCATTTGCTTTCTCAAGATCTAGACTAATTGTCTATCAAATTTCACATAAATCTGTTCAGTAGTTTTGGCGTGTAAGTGAGACTGGCAGACAAACAGAATTACTTTTACAGTTATAATATTAGTAAGGTATTTAATAAACTAACTCAAAATGCCAATGAAAAAAGTTTAATAGATCTGGCTTCAAAAATGACGATGTTACCTAATATCTTTCATCCCCTAATTTATTTTACCCCCTTAAGGGTAAGATTTTTACAAACTTAGTATGTCATATTTATTTATATTTAATTAGCAGCCTCAAAGTCAGTTTCAGGCTTCTAGCTTCAAAAATGACGATTTTTCCATACAATCTTTCATCCCCAATTTCAACCACTTACGACCCTTTTTTCGCATTAAAAAGTAGCCTATGTCCTTTCTCGGGGTCTAGACTATCTGTGTACCAAATTTCATGTAAATCAGTAGTTTTGGCATGAAAGCGAGACAGACAGACAGACAGTCAGACAAAGTTACTTTCGCATTTATAATATGAGTAAGGATTTAATGTTTACAGATCATTATTGTATAAATTCAGAATAATTTATTACTTTTAACACTTTATTTTTATTCTTTTCTTTATTCATATATTTCATGTATGCATACATATTGTTAATAAACAATTTATAAACTATCTTAGTAAATTGCAATATATGTATATCTTTATTATTTTAATTCACATAACTATGTCTATGTTCAAGTCCAGAAGAACTGTCCGCAGTGCAATGATGACCAGTGCTTCTGGAGCGGACAATCTGAAATATTTGCATTTATAACTCTTAAAACATTATGAAATATAATAGAATATATTAATATAAATTCTAAAATCTGAAATTAGTACCATCTATATAAATAAATAAAATTGGAGTGTCTGTTTGTAATATTGAAATAATCGTTATTTACTACATGCATATGAATATAAATACGGTACATACGCATAAATAACATTTTTTACAATTTATTATCTGTCTGTCTGTCTGTCTGTTTGTTCCAGCTAATCTCTAAAATGGCTGGACCGATTTTGACGGGATTTTTATTGGCAGGTAGATGATGTAAGAAGGAGTAACTTAGGCTAACATTTATTTTAGAAAAATAAAGTTAAATTTAACGCGGACGAAGTTGCGTGTACAGCTAGTTTATTAATATGTCTCAAATATATTACTAGCCGTCATTTGTCGTTAAGGTATTATTAATTGAGTAATAACATATTTCAAGAGTACATGAAAATACATGTTGGTGCCCGACCGCTGCGAACTCTTTTGATATTTGTAGAATTTATATTTTTAGAACGGTTCTTTTTATAAGTCATGTGTTTTGATACATTTCAGTTGTTATCTTACTATAGTTCGTTGGATTTATATATGTATACCATTGTAATTTACGTGTTTTACACATATATATAGATACAGTCCACAGGTCCGCTAAAATAGAGGTTTTTAAGTGTGTGGTATTGAGAATTTAAAATTATCATTTAATTTCTTCTGAATAGAGATCGCTATACAACATACACTATTGGAGTAAATGCTTAATTTCTGCTTAGTATTTAAAATTTTGTAAAAAATTATGTGCTTATTTAGCTCCTAGTCACCCAGAGAGCAATGGAGCGATCTATGCTCGGTACCTTCCTACGAGACAAATTGCGGAACAGTAAGATCAGGCGACGGACAGTCAGGACTTATATTACAAGCATATGGTTTTTGTTTGCTTGTCACAGATGAGAGATTCTATTATGATTTTATCAATTAACATTTGGACCAGATGGATAGTAATATAATAATAAAGAAGTGCTATTTATTAACATAGTATATATATCGGTTGGCTAACATATTGTACATAACATGTCTTACTATACACCTAGATGGCGGTATATGATATGTTATATATATGCTATACTATAACTAATACTTCAATGCGAAAAATGTATGTCTGTGTGTGACTCTATCACGCCATAATATCTTAGCCAAGCATCATGAAATTTCGCATATTGAAATGAAGAGGACATATGTATGCACGGCCAATAGTCACGCAGACAAAGTGATAGGCAAAAGCTAGTTTAATTCAATTATACAATATTTTCCATCATTCATAGATATATTTGTATAAAATAACAAAAGCCTGTATAAATAAATTGTTATCAAAGCCTAGAAACAGCACATTTGTATTATTATTTTTATAGAATACACACAGAAATGGTGAACGACGTACGTGAATAAATGTACAATAAATATATTTGAAAAAAATATACTTTTTTATAAAGTTAGTATGTTATATACATATGAATAATTTAGAGCATCTTGGACTAGTTTACTGTCAAATTCAAAAATCATTTATTCATGTAGGACATTTTAGCCGCTTTAGCCAATATATCAGATTAGACCGTAAAGATCGTAAATTCGAATGTGGGCGACGAAAAAATAGTGTGATAATTTATATTTATAACTTACTTTCTTATGAATGAAAACATCTGTAACAAATCAAATGAATCCACTGATGCTGTCATGTTGGAATCAAATATACTTAGTGAAGCGTGAATGCTGATTCTTGCGTTCAATTAGTCGTCGATTGGTAATGTCTGTATACCCCGTATATTTCAGTCGTGAAGGTTAATTGTTATATTATTATTAGATATAACATACGTCAGCGGTAAATACATTGTTAGTGATAAACTCCGGTGTTAATTTTAATAAAAAAAGGTTTTCAACCATTGTAATGCAGAGGTCAAGGAAGAACAATGACTATGTCAATTAAATAACATATTTTTAACAACTAATATTAAAAATCGAAGAGTTGGTTTGTATGTTTTGTTTAAGGCACTAACCACTGGAATTACTGGTTTGAATTGAAAAAAATCCCATTTTTAATGTAATTATTATATAATGACTTACATAATATAATGACTGACTAATCCTGTCCTATGAGAGTGTCTAGATACTGCAAAAAAAACTAGTAAAAAATTTTAGTACACTATTGTAATTTTGATGATTCTTTTGTTATTTAAAAGTGTAGAATTATACTTGATAATTGATAATCAATCGTATTTATTTACATGTAATTGTATGAATTTATTATTTTTAGTGGAGAATTTCAACAAAAACTATTTACATAAAAATTAAAAATATTCAGTTTTGTTATCGTCAAAATAATAAGACTCATCAAAATAGGAATACGAAACAAAAGTTTTACGTGGTACATATACTGTTTGGACTGTGCATGGCTCTGAATGGTAAGCATAAATGGCCGAATTTGTGCTCAATTTAGGAACTCGCTCGACCGAGGGGTCAATTTGTACAATAGATAGGTCTATAGTATTATCTATGAATTGACGCCATACAGTAGGCACATGTGATCACAATGAGCCAAATCCGGCTGTGCGTGATCCAAAGTAATCATAATTTAGTTTCATAGTTGAACTAGTGGCTTCGAGCTGCTTTGCTCTGGCAGAATTTATTTGTATTTCCAACCGTACATCATGTATTATGTACATACTTATATATACACTTAATTAATTAATATGTCATCTTACTTGACCTCAACGCATGCCTACTCAATTATTAAATGATAATGATATAATTGTTAATTATAAATATATTTGTTGGTAGTTTTCTAATTCTTGTAATTTTTTATATTTGTATCGCATCCTGCGTTTTAGCACATAGTAATTAATTTTAAGTGAAAATCTTTGTGATTTTGGGGATTAATTAAATATTAATCCCCAAAATCACAAAGATTTTATCTTACGATCCCATGACTTAAAAGTGATAAATATCCATTTTATAATGACTACTTATTATTTGCTGCATTGCTTTTATAGAATCTGTTTCATGTTTCAATGGATTTTTAAGTACTGCAATCTTGAGCGTTAATTGCTATTATAGAATAAGTTTCAATGTCTATCTTCCCATTCCATGAGGACTTTTAAATATTGCACTCTTGAGCGTTATTGTAGAAAAAGGATTATGCAAAATTTTATGTTGATTTCTCTTAAAGATCCAATCATATTTTAAATACGGTTTAATATAATGACGGTGCAATATTTTTATAAAATATAAGTTTTTAAGCTAAATATCTAGTCAAATTTAAAATTGTAAAAAACATATTCTGATATATTTTTCATAACAATATAAAAAATAAATAAAAGTATATAATAATCCTAAAGAGAACTCATTTCCTTATATATATCGACTCATCTTTAACATTTTCTCAAAAATAAAAAAACGATGTATCTTAAGATTTTATTTCATTATCTTATATGTATCTCTTCACTATTTTATATAAAAAAAAATCTTATTCAATTGTTAATTGATAAACTATTTATTTGTTAAATGCATTAGTTAAAAAACAAACTAAACTTATGCTGCTTTCCTGTTAGTGTAAAGATATTCGACGCCATTGATTTCGTCTTGTGTTTGATCCTTGTCGCCCCATCCCCATAACGTTTTGTCAACTCCAGTCCTCTGGATCCTGGCCAATATTGTTTTGTCAGGTATTATTTTTAAGTCATACGCCCATCCGATCTTTGCAAAGAAATTTATAAAGAGCGTTGCTGCATTGAATTTAGTATCGCCCAATTCTGATGCTTTGTAGTCATATGGGAACACATGATGGTAGTTATGGAAGCATTCGCCAGTTGTGAGTAGGGAGATCGATAGGTTCTCAACGGGTTTGATGCTCTTGTCGAATGGACGGCTTCCCCATCGATGTCCAATACTGTTCACCAGGAAGATCAAGTTGATTGTCAGCACGTGACGGAGCATTGTGGCGATATGCCAGGAGTTGCTGAAGCTCTCATTCCAAAAGTACATAGGGACAATGGTAGGAACAAGATACGCACAGGTACCGATGACCAAAATCGCGTGTTTCCTTTGGAATCTCAATAACGGATCGTTGTAGATGTCATCCATGTAAATAGTCTTCCCTTTTTCCAAGACTTCAGGGTGTTTCTTCACGAACAGCCATCCGATTTGCGAAAAGAAAAAACCACGGTTCGAATTGTGCGGATCCGCGTCGGTGTCCATATATTTATGGTGGAGGCGATGATCTCTCACCCAGTACGTCGCTGTGTTCATGAACGCGAGACTGTTGAAGATGAGCAGTATAATCTGCAACGGCATCTTGGCTTTGTAGGCCCGATGACACCAGAGCCGGTGAGCTCCGGCGGTGATCCCGATCTTCGCGGCTTCCAGCAACAGCAGCGACCATATTATCGTCGCCCATTTCGCGCTGGTGAAACACAAATAGATCCCGTACAGAGCAGCCAAGTGCATATATGCAAATTTAATTACATTGTGTTTCACCAACGGATTGGTTTCCATTATTGTTGTGTTGAATCGACCGCTTACAAAGTAAGACTGAATCTATTTCGAGCAATATTGTCCAACTACATGTATGTTGAGAGGTTAAAAGTCTAAGGCTAACCGTGTGTAGCGACGCATGCGACGACATTTAGCGTAACACAGTAGACGATATTTTGTAATGTACGATGTAATATGATGTTATCTGTGGTACAACTGAAATAGGTATGGAATAGAAATAGAAACAATTTTTGTTCAAATAAACGTAATATAACTTTTGAATAGTCGTATTTTTTTATTCTATCACTAATTCGGAACGCAGACTCATCGCAAGAAGAACGGGCTAGAAAATTGCGTGTTGCTCTTTTAAATAAATGTTATTCAGAATTATATTTTCAAGAATTTTGTGTGAATACAAATGCCAAATAGCAATGTTGACTGTTATAAAGTTATTGAACTGTTAAAACAATTAAAATTGTGATTTACACAGATGCCTGCTGATTTTACACAGGTGCAGATTACTGCGTGATGGAATCATGTTACTTGAAGAACTACTTTTAGTTATTTTGTGAGCTAAATTAATTTATAATTTTAAATATTATATATTAAAGAGTATCTCTTTAATTTAGTCCCGATTTAGTTTTGTGTTATTATGTTGTAATCGTAATATTATGTTGCATATGACCAGCCATGTGTTGGTTGCATAAATTTGTCATTGCAGCACCTAACAATATATAAATAGTAGCGTATTAATATTAACAAAAGCACCTATAAAACACTTGTGTTCACAGATAACCATATATAGGTAGTTATTTTTTAAACAAACAGTAAATGTAGTTTATCATATAAATGAATATCGGTATTAAAAAATAGAGGTTGAAGGGTGATAATGGATGTATATTTTAAAACAGAATCATAAAATGTTAAAAAGATAACACACTTACCACTTAGGAATATCAAAAATAGTTAACGTCCTATTCTTAGGCCTATTGAATATATGAACAGAATTTCACAAAAATCGGTCAAGCGATTTCGTAGGAGTTTTGTTACAAACAATGTGACATGAGAATATATATATTTTTACATAGTAAAATGAGGTCGCTGCCGTCTGTTCGCTTAGATCTTTTAAACTACGCATCGGGAGTTTAATGCAGTTTTTAGCATAGATAGAGAGATTCAAGAGGATGGTTTATATGTATAATACATGTGTGTTATATTATAGTACAAGCCGAGAAATTCAAAGACTTATAATACATCCGTGCGAAGCCGGGACAGGTCGCTAGCTAGAAGATTTAAATAAAAAAAGACTCTGCGTAGGTATTTGGCACGTTGCATTTTTTGTATCTTAGCATACGGTTAGCCTTAAGTACCAAATGGTATCAGATGCGTAGGCGCGTGGAATACGGACAATAAATTGTCGCTTGCGCCGCCATTATCACTGAATACCAATTAAGTGTTAAAGTAAACAACCTTTTATTGCTAAAAAAACTACTTTTAAATAAATTGTGTAACACAAAATTTGCATGGGGCTCAATCATGATGGAATGGTGTGATTTGGTATGATAATATGGTCATTAGAATTATCTTTTTAAATAAATAAATATATAAATAGCTGTGCCCGCGGTTTCACACGCGTTTTATAGCCTATATGTTATTCTGATGCATTAGCTATATTACTGTAAAGTTTCATTAAAACCGTTTAGTAGTTTTTGCGTGAAAGAGTAACAAACATCCATACTTACAAACTTGCGCGTTTATAATATTATTAAGATGTGAATGCCCACTATGTGTATGTTTGACGATCTCGGTGGTCTAGCGGTCTAGAACATCACATGTCCAATGGTCGCGGGTTCGATTCCTCGCACGGCACAAACATTTGTATACATTCATTCATTCATTTTTTTTGTTTGTCTTATTCTATTCGATTATAACTATTTTGTATCCAAAAATAGTTATAAACTATAGTTGTTTCTGTCGCGGGTTCAGCTCGTAGAGCTATAGAAGTAAATGTAAAATGAAATTTAAAATTGAAATTAGGTTAAAACTATTAGGTAAGAAACCTTTACAACTATACTCCTGGACAATTCACACAGCGCCATCTAGTCCCGAGCTAAGCAAAGTTTGTGTTATAGGCACAAGATAAATGATTTAATACTTCAATAGACTTTTTTATAAATACACTAGCTACGCGCCCCGACTTCGCCCGGGTGTACATGTATTATATATATAAACCTTCGTCTTGAATCACTCTATCTATAAAAAAAACGCTTTAAAATCCGTTGCGTAGTTTTAAAGATTTAAGCATACATAGGGACGGACAGACAGCGACAGCGACTTTATTTTATACTATGTAATGATTCTTGATATATATAGAAATCACCCATACCAATACACCAGTGTCCATTTTAGCCCACATTGAAATGCAAAAAAATTATATCTATATGAAGTCAAAAAGACTCAAATACCATTTTGAGATGTAACCATTTCCTACCTAAATCATAACTAAGTTAGCATCAGTCTTAACTAACTGTGAAATCTCGGATGTAACAAAAATACTTTATTCTTAACAAATTTCATACCTAATCTAAAAACATGTAAGTATCAGTAGACATATCTCTTACCCTTCAGTATTCTCGGCGTACAATACCTTTGAGGGTAACTGGGCATTTTTTACGCAACCCAAGTAATATTTCATAAAAGAAAGATCTTCCGCTGCTCCGTAAACAATTTTGTATGAAACTACTTACTCGCCTAGGCTTTGCTTGGGTGTTCATAAATTTGTGAGTTTTTATAGTAACTAGACTATGTTACCCTTTTGAAAATTTGAATTCGGTTAAAAATAATAAATACCTAAATGCCGGATCTAAAGCAAAGGTTATTGAGATTATTAAAATTACAAAGGTCAAATGATAGTTACCTTTTAAACAATTTTTTTATCTTTATCACTCTAGTAATTCTCTCAACGTAATTAGGGGTTCAACACACAAAGTCGTACGGTGCCGCGCGTTACCGCATAAATCACGTAAATATGTATGATTAAAGCTTTCTTATTTGTCATATTGAATTCAATCGATTATACTATTTGAATACGTTAGTTTTTATTTAACAAATGATATCCCGTTATTTTATATTAAAAAGTAACTGAGTAGTAATAGATGTTGCGACCTCGTTGACAAGACTGTTTGCTGGCCGCTTATAAAACATAACTAGAACAGACAGAACTGTTGACTACAGAAGAGTACGACATATATGAAAACGGACGATTAGGAATTTTATGAATTATATTTTATTATCAGACAAGACATTGCTTTTATTCAATATCGACGACAATCTTAACGGTCGCGCTGATTAGCAGATCGTTTAATAGCGTATTATATAAAACGTTTAATTGACTAAACAGTTTTGATTCGAAATAACTATCAAATAATAATATAACTCATTATGACGCTCTAAAACTTTACATATATAAATGTTCTTAAGAAAAGGCGTCCTAATTGATAAAAGATAATTCTTACAGACAACCTGGATAAATAGAGTAATATAATATTAGAAATTTTGAACTAAACTTACTTAAACGTTATTAAAGTTTATTAAACGCTACTTTGAACAAAATTACTTCAAGTTGAATGTTATTCGTGTGGTAGCTATTTTAAAATTATTACAAATGGCTGCCCGATAAGATGGCACGTAGTCGGGCGGTGCAACCGCGTCGCACAGTTGCGTTTTTTTTTTCGAACTACTCTAATTCTGTTGGCGGCAGCTGGCATTTACAGCTTCATCGAACGATAGGAGACAAGTGCAAATGGTATTCTAAATCTGCGGAAGGACTTATGAAGCGGCTGAAGTCTACCTGGGGCTTGAAAGATACGACTTTAGTATGAGGGCGCCGCTAGGGATTCGAACGTATCAGGCTGTTGTAATTCCGATCTCTGTTTGAATTGGACGGGGAATCAGAATTACGATACGATCGGAATAACCGTACATTGTACTAAAAGTTTATGATAAAATTATAAAGAGAGAGAGAGAGACATATGCTTTATTACGAGAAAAATAAACCTAGAAGCCTTTTTAACGATACGAAAAATGTTTTTCACGATGATACATATTTTTTTCTGAGTTCTGTTTTTAAACTGTTCTAATGCTCTTGGCAGCTAGCCTTTATAGCTTTACCAAACGATAGGAGCCGAGTGCAGATGGTGCTCCGACCCTGCAGAAAGACTTAGGCAGCGGCTGTAAAACAACTCCTGCTTGTCGGATACGACTTTAGTCTGAGGGCACCGCTAGGGGATAAATCCTCTTCAAATCTGCCGTCCATACAACAGGTGCCGATATGGGGCCTTCACCCCATGGCGCATGCTGTATTCCAGTGCGTCACCCCCAAGGTGGGCGGAGGTAGGTAAAACTGAGAAGAGTTCAACCCACGCGTTAAGGAGGGCCCGCTTGCGGGCAACCGCGCCGCTGGAGTCGCTATCGCTTACGAACTCGTTCCCGCGACTCCGGCACTATGATGGCAGAGGAATTCCATAGAGATTTCGATAAAACGGGAAATTTATTGAAATCACAGACGACATGCCGAGGTTAAATCCTCGGCGTAGGCCGTCGTAGTTCCGATGCCAGTTTGAATTAGACGTAGGATGGATCGCAGGGGACACCGTTGCGTGTGCTATCCGCTTTACTACTAAAAATAAACGTTGTAGATGATAACATTTTACTCTTAAATGACTCGCTGATAAATTTCTTGGTTGTGGGATTGGCTATTTAATGGAACATGCGATACAATTAAATATACTTGTAGTAATTGATAACAGTAAATTTGTAGTGGATAAAAAGAATAGGTTAAACGATAGGATAGACTAGCGGCAGCCTGTGGCTTTGCTAGCGTAAATCAAATATAAATTAGTAGGAGTAGTATCTTGTAATCTTGCTCTTTTCCTAACTTTATAATCTCGATTTGTGTTGCCTCTATATAGAATTTGTTGAATTTAAATCAATTGACATGAATTTCCTACCTAATTTTCCTTCTTAATATTGTATAATAATTAA